GCGAGCGAATCAACTGAACTGATACTCAATGGTAATGACTTGTGAAAATGGTACAACGCCAAGGTGTCAGTTTTAATAAGGACTGTTACCCTGTGTATCAGGACAACCGCCTGGCGTCGTCGGGACATCTGCATGCTCAAGATGAGGGTAGAGATACTTGCAAGCAGTGGGTTCAGATTGTGAGGGGTGCTTACGTCTAATTTCATCAAACAGATGTTCAGTCCACTGAGGATAGGACCTTGATCTAACTCATTATGTTCCAGTTCCTCAAAATGTCCACTGGCACAGGACTTGTGAGTGGTCGTTTTCCTGCCGACGACTACTACACCCAAACGGCACCCCAAATCCCATCACTATACAGAACCCCTGTAAATCGATCATCCAGACGGCCAAGGTCTGTACTCAAGCCGCGATTCACTCCTACAAAACCACTGAAAACACCATATATCGGCAGTGTTGTGTCTTGATACACTGACAGCAGTCTTTGTGAGCGCCTTTCCAACCACGTCTCACGCCATCTTCGGAGAAGGATCCTCGATTGGTCACAAGACATTGGGTGACGCCAACTCACTTTTTTCAGCAGCCGTCTTGATTCTGAACACAAGCCACCGACAATTCACTCGTAATTCTGAAACTTTCACCAGTTAATGGAAAGTTCCATCGCCTTGTCTCCCGATGACCCTAAACCCAGTGTTTATGATGCATAAAGATCTGAATCTATCCCTTAACGCAATGTGTCTTATCTCCTAGCCTTAAAAGTTAAACAGTGTCACTTTAACCATGTTTCATTTCCACACAACGGTTTGCCTATGCAAATGCTATAACCTTGAAATCATAGTATCTGATTTGTTGAGATTATATTAAGCAACATGAGGGAACTCCTCGACTTAATCATTGGTTATCGTTTATACTGATGTCTTCCTCTGTCTACGATGACAACAATTGTCCTACAATGCTCCCTCCTTTTATTACACAATAGGCATGGATGACAAATGTTTGTTTGCTATCTGCACGACGTTGCCGCGAATCCGTCTTGTTGGGATGCGTTAAACCGAGCATAATTCATTACAGAGACCAGCAAGGAAACAAGCGAGCAAGGCATGTGAAAAACAAGAAACGTGATCGTATTCCATCTGGGCACAAGCTATCCTTTGTCGATGTTGTACAGACTTGTGTTCCGTGGATGACACTTGCAGGATCCTCCTATCGTGGTGTCGATGTTGTACAGACTTGTGTTCCGTAGATGACACTTGGAGGATCCTCCTATCGTGGTGTCGATGTTGTACAGACTTGTGATCCGTAGATGCCACTTGCAGGATCCTCCTATCGTGGTGTCGATCTTGTACAGACTTGTGATCCGTAGATGACACTTGCAGGATCCTCCTATCGTGGTGTCGATGTTGTACAGACTTGTGATCCGTAGATGACACTTGCAGGATCCTCCTATCGTGGTGTCGATGTTGTACAGACTTGTATTCCGTAGATGACACTTGCAGGATTCTCCTATCGTGGTGTCGATGTTGTACAGGCTTGTGATCCGTAGATGACACTTGCAGGATCCTCCTATCGTGGTGTCGATGTTGTACAGACTTGTATTCCGTAGATGACACTTGCAGGATTCTCCTATCGTGGTGTCGATGTTGTACAGACTTGTGATCCGCGGATGACACTTGCAGGATCCTCCTATCGTGGTGTCGATGTTGTACAGATTTGTGATCCGAAGATGACACTTGCAGGATTCTCCTATCGTGGTGTCGAGGTTGTACAGACTTGTGATCCGTAGATGCCACTTGCAGGATCCTCCTATCGTGGTGTCGATGTTGTACAGACTTGTGATCCGTAGATGACACTTGCAGGATCCTCCTATCGTGGTGTCGATGTTGTACAGACTTGTGATCCGTAGATGACACTTGCAGGATCCTCCTATCGTGGTGTCAATGTTGTAGAGGCTTGTGATCCGTAGATGACACTTGCAGGATCCTCCTATCGTGGTGTCGAGGTTGTACAGACTTGTGATCCGTAGATGACACTTGCAGGATCCTCCTATCGTGGTGTTGATGTTGTACAGACTTGTGATCCGTAGATGACACTTGCAGGATCCTCCTATCGTGGTGTCGATGTTGTACAGGCTTGTGATCCGTAGATGACACTTTCAGGATCCTCCTATCGTGGTGTCGATGTTGTACAGACTTGTGATCCGTAGATGACACTTGCAGGATCCTCCTATCGTGGTGTCGATGTTGTACAGACTTGTGATCCGTAGATGACACTTGCAGGATCCTCCTGTCGTGGTGTCGCTGGTGTACAGGCTTGTGATCCGTAGATGACACTTGCAGGATCCTCCTACCGTAGTATCGATCTTGTACAGGCTTGTGATCCGTAGATGACACTTGCAGGATCCTCCTATCTTGGTGTCGATGTTGTACAGACTTGTGATCCGTAGATGACACTTGCAGGATCCTTCTATCGTGGTGTCGATGTTGTAGAGGCTTGTGATCCGTAGATGACACTTGCAGGATCCTCCTATCTTGGTGTCGAATCCAATACGCCCCTATTGTCAGTCTAACCAGTAATACCTACACAGTGCGTTGGTTCCCCGACAGCACGTACCCTGAACAAGCATTCGAAAACAGCACTGAAATACACAAATGAAGCAAAGCATGGAGAGCCTAATGTATGTTGTCCCCTGAAACGGATTTTAGCGCCGCTTCATTATAGGACCACACTGTTGACGGCCAAACCCGCTTCATTTGTTGGTAACTAGTTAAGAAATAAACGACAAGTAGTTTATAGAACAATAAAACACTGCAAGGAGAATAAACCATGAAGGGCGCAGCCATGACGGTTTTATTTTGCCTACGGTGTTTGATTGTACGATAGACAACGACCACGGGTCGTTTATTTCTTACATGAGATACCAACATTATGTCATCCTTTTTTAAGGATGTCAATAAATTGTGCAAGCTTTTAAAACATTTACCAGTATTTAAATATTGATGACTCCCTGAATACAATCGAAGATTCCGGGGTAGAATAGGTCTTCAGCAACCCATGCTTGCCGTAAAAGGCGACTATGCTTGTCGTAAAAGGCGACTAACGGGATCGGGTGGTCAGGCTCGCTGACTTAGTTGATGCATGTCATCGATCCCAATTGCGTGGATAGATGCTCAGGATATCAAACACTGGATTGTCTGGTCCAGACTCGATTACTTACAGACCGCCGTCATATAGCTGAAATATTGCCGAGTGCGGCGTTAAACAACCAACCAACCAACCGACCTCGGCAATGCCGGACAACTCCTTTTTTAGATACAGGTGAGCTAAGTTTGGTATTCTCACAATGTTCACGTCTATTTCCTCCACATTCTCTCCCAATACCGATTTTCAAACCTCTCCCAATTGTTGGTGCGATCGTACGGCCATTTCGTTTATGTGCGTTGCCCAGCTACATCTACGGGGAACATGTTATTCTGGACACTTCCCTCAAAACATGACGTCGTCCTATATACGTCATCAAGTTGCGAGCGTTTGTTCGAATCTCCAGACATGACGGCATTATAGAACACTGTTTTATCGTGAAATAAACCACGATTCGTTCTTCATTGTTCTTTGCGAATTATCGTGTTGCTATCTTATATCAGGTAAAAGATAACGAGTTATTTACGCGAATTTAGTACTGAAGTGTTCAACCTGATCTATTTGTTAAATCACGAACACCATTATTTGTGTATTTATAAATTACAACCACTGACCAATGTGTTTCCCTCGGTTTACATCTTCAGACCTGTATATCATGAGTGAGTGAGTGAGTATGGTTTTACGCCGCTTTTAGCAATATTCCAGTAATATCACGGCGGGGGACACCAGAAATGGGCTTCACACATTGTACCCATGTCGGGAATCGAACCCGGGTCTTCGGCGTGACGAGCGAACGCTTTAACAACTAGGCTACTCGACCGCCCCACCTGTATATCAAGTCTTATGGGTGACATTATTCAATATCCACTGGCAGACATGGCTTGGATGGTTTCGAAAAGTGTTATGTTCTTATACATTTTGTGTGCTGTCCGCCATTGGACACTTGATCGTTTCAATCTACATATAAGTATTGTACCAGTGTTTCGAAGCAGTGTTTCTGTCTATTATGTTATTGTTTGTTTTGTTTGATTGTTGTTTAACGCCGCACTCAGCAAAATGCTAGCTATGTGACGGCGGCCTGTAAATAATCGAGTCTGGACCACACAATCAAGTGATTGACATCATGAACATCGATCCTTGCAACTGGGACACGATGACATGCATCAACCTTTTAAGGCAAGAATGGGTTGCTGAAGACCTACTCTATCCCGGATCTTCAAGGGTCTGTAATGCTAATTACACAATATACAACTGTTTATTTTGCGTACAGTCGGCACCCATTGTCTCCTCGAGAAATAGTTCGACGAATCCAGGGTTCGACACACTCTCGACATAATTACCGACTTTCCTACCCCCCCCACACACACAAAAAAAAAAAAAAAAAAAAAGAAAAAAAAAGAAATACAGCTAACATTCCACATCGTAGCACAAGTTCTGTTTGATATATTTGTAACTGTAAATTGAGTTACATCGGGTTAAAATAGTGATATATCTAGCAGGAGTTGCCTGGGTCAAGATTGTCAGTTCGACACAACAATGGAGTCGACACATCCGATTACAACCCAACTATATTTGTTAACTTAAACTGCCGGTTAAATGAAAATAATCACATTGTATAAAGTATTCAATTTGTATGTGACATAAACGTTACAAAGGTGATAAAAAAGGTTCCTAGGCTGAAAACAATCGTCAAAACACTGCAAACCTAACATCAAAAACACAACAATGATACCCGTATCAAATACATCCCCATCGAATAACAATTAAATGTTTATTTCATTTTTAGACACCTAGAAACATGGATCATGTATACTTTCTTTTGCCCGGACGTGTATATTTTTAAACTAAAAGTGCCCTTCAAACTCTTCCCAGGTGCTTTATTCAGGAAGGGTGCGGACATATTTGGCCATTCCGGTCATGGCCGTAACGTAGGTGTAGGCATCAGAGCTCCAGAAAGGGAAGTAGCGATCCTGGTCGTTATACCCATGGAACACTACAGGAGAATGGCATTTACTTGTCATGTTCTCGTACGTCGCTTCAGGTATAATTCCCTCAACTCCAAAAATAAATGGTTCGTTCCCTCTGTGTATTCTACAGTTGTCAGCAATAGGGACCCTTGTCCCATTGAAAAGCTCGATCCGATTCACTGGGTACATAGCTGGAGATGTCTGAAGTGAAGGAAACACTGATTCTGACATGGTTCGCGGAGGTACATGTAGTATGCGGCATGGTAAACACAAAACAGACTGAGTAAGTTTCACTGAGCATACGGGGGCATGCTGTTACCATTGTATGTACATCGCAGGGAACGAATGAGTTGATCATTCACTACGTTAACCATGAATGAACTTCTTGTCTCATGTGTGGAATCGAATCCGGGTGTTAATTGTGAGCGACGAATACATTAACCGTTAGATTACCTCACCGCCCCATCAGTATTTTGATAGATCTGTTGTCCTTGGTGTAAATATATGAAACAGCAAAACAGCCTGCCCAACACAATGAAATATAGATGGACTGTTTGATGGATGGATGGGAGCATGGGCGGGTGGATGGATGGGTGGATGGATGATGGATAAATGGCAGGATGGGCGGGTGGATGAATGGATGGATGGAGGATGGACGGGTGGATGATGGATGGATGGATGGATGGATGGATAATGGGTGGATGTGAGGATGGGCGGTAGGATGGATGGATGGATGGATTAGTGGATGGGAAGATGGATTGATGGATGCACATAACCGTATGAATTCTACCTTATGTATATTATGCATGTGGTATGTGATACCATAGTCACCTCCTAAACGAGGTAATCAAGATGTTATCGTTTGCCCAAACTGTAGAGTATACCACATATTATACTATATTATACAAAGAGTACCGTATAATCATGTCAATAAATTACTTGCAAGTACAGATTGCAAGCCTACATACTTTCTAGTAAAGTCAAATTGTACACAACATTAGCGCAAACCGTTTCGTATGGCAATCTTGGGTGTAAAATGTAATAACCTTATTATTAATAACACTATTTTATTAACTATATCTTCCTTACCGTTTCGCCCTTATTGGAACCAGAGAAAAACGCGTTCCAGGGTTTGTATTGACCCCCATAGCTGTTTAGATACAGCCATGTTACAATCTTCTTGACAGTCTCTTGAACCAATGCAGGCGTATCTGAAATGAGGCACGTGTGAAATATAGAACGAGTATGATAAAATTCTTGACACATGGATATTTACTGAATACTGAAGTTGACTTTGGGCCAGAACACAATAATATGCAGTCAGCCAGATTCAACATTCTCACCGCCAGATCCGTATATGGGATTATGGCTCTTACTGAAGGTCCCTCGAGTTCCAGGAACGGTTGTGAGTGAGTGAGTTAAAATTTAAAGTCTACTATTAAAACCTGTCAACAACGGACAGTAAAATAACTAGACTTATCACAGATTTAAAACGTCCAGTAACGGTTGATTCATTACGAACATATAACGCCATCATATGTAAAAGTAGGATGGAGACAAGGAGTGAGAGTATATTCCAGTATGAGTGGGTGAGTGATGTTTAACGCCGCTTTTAACAGTATTCCAGTTATATCACGGCATGTCAGCTTAATGTGGGAGGAAAGCCCGAAGTGATGCAGGTCTCAGACGTTTACCACTTCGGTGAAACCCACGAGCACGGGTATGGTGCTGACAAACCTAGAAACATAATCGGGGCGAACCGGGATTCGAACCCACAATCATAGGTTTCTGGCGTGTCCAAGGGACGCAACTCTGCTTTTCCAGTATGAAATGAAATGTTCCTCACTTTCATATTGCATCTATTCATAACTTTTGAAATATCAATAAATGATGTTTTCCATGCACTTAGGCGTATGGAGCACATTAGCGCATACTTCCAAACATTTGAAACTGCTCTTAGTTTGAAAATAAACGGGTTGGAAGAACGTGGCCGATTATTGAAGTTCATAAAATTCACCTGAATTGGCGACTTTAATGGGTGTACTTTTTTTAGCAGATGTATATATTTGTTTGAGGACATTCCTGTGCGTGTACGGTAAATGTTAAAACAATGACGCTGATTAGAGAGTGAGTGAGTATGAATTAGTAGTTAAGGAATATTCAACCACGGCGGGGGACACCGGAAATAAGCTTCACACATTATACCCATGTGGGGAATCGAATCCGATTGATTATGTAGATAAAAAAGATGCAAGTTCTGCTTAGGATTAAGGTTGGTTGGTCAGTTTGTTGTTTAAAGCCGCACTCTGCACTTGTCCAGCTACATGACGGCGGTCTGTAAATAATCGAGTATGGACAAGACAATCCAGTGATTGATATCATGAGCATCGATCCATGCAATTGGGATACGATGACATGCATCAACCAAGTCAGCGAGCCTGACCACCCGATCCCGTTAGTCGCCTCTTACGACAAGCATAGTCTCATTTTTCGGCAAGCATGGGTTGCTGAAGACCTATTCTACCCTGGATCTTCACGGGTCCTGAGGGTTAAGGCCGCCCAATGTCTACACAAACCTTTATCCCAGATAAGCTTCCCTGTGTGCTGGTCCTCAGTAGTCCAGATAGTCATCAAGGCGTTCAGGGCCATGGAGCTGGTGAAAATACGGTCTTCCGCGTTGTTCTGCAATTAAACGTTTCAATCCTACACATGCTCATTTCAAAAGAAAAGTAATCCTCGATTATCCATTACATTATATCTACATTTTAGTTAGATGAATACACTGGAACTGTTCCCAACCACATCCTCATCCCGATTAGAATGTCAGGATGTTGAAGCTGTCAAGCCAATCACCTCATTTTCATGAACTTGAGGGGGGCAACGGGTGGCCCAGTCGCCTAAGGCGCTGTGCAGAGTTGCGTCCCTTGGGCACGCCAGAAACCTATGATTGTGGGTTCGAATCACGGTTCGCCCCGATTATGTTTCTAGGTTTGTCTGCACCATATCTGTGCTCGTGGGTTTCACCAAAGTGGCAAACGTCTGAGACCTGAACCACTTCGGGCTTTCTCCCACATTAAGTCGACACACTGCGATATAACTGGAATACTGTTAAAAGCGGTGTTAAACCCAACTCACTCACTCATGAGCTGGAGAGATCCTCTTCCTGTTAGAGATTGGGGCATGTGATCACTACTGAAACGAAGCTACATGTATTTATTGGGTGTATATTTTGTATATTGATTCAAATCTAACCACTGTCTGCAGTGTAATTCTACATTCTATTCATAACATTAATAACGTAATCAATGAATGAGAAAACTATAAAATCTGAAAGACCGAACGTGTCACACGTCACGCTGAAGGTTCGGGTTCGATTTACCTAAATGGGTACAGTGTGTAAATCCCACCTGTGTCCCCCGACGTGATATTTCTGAAATATTGCTAAAAACGGTGTAGAACAACCGCACTCACATGTTGTGTATCATATATTACGAGATATATTACCACAGACATGTTGTCGTACGTGGTGTCGCCACCGCCGAGAAAGTCATCGTAGTAGATGGTGTCCCAGCCTGTCTGGTTTCCAGTCTTTCGCTGGTCCAGGATCCAAGGTGACGCATACTCTCGTAGCACCTGCTTGAAGTCCTCCAGAACCTGTTCCATCCCCTTTATCACATAATGGGCATGATGAAGTTGTGATCTTATTAACATCAAGAAATCTTTGAGTTGTATCTTAATGAGAGTTGGTTGGTTGGTTTGTTGTGTAACGCCGCACTCAGAAATATTCCAGCAATATGACGGCGGTCTGTAAACAATCGAGTCTGGACCAGACAATCCAGTGATTGATATCATGAGCATCGATCCACGCAATTGGGATCGATGACATGCATCAACCAAGTCAGCGAGCCTGACCATCCGATCCCGTTAGTCGCCTTTTACGACAAGCATGGGTTGTTAAAGACCTATTCTACCCAGGAATCATCACGGGTCGTCTTAATGTGAAGTTATATAGTCTTAATATGAAATTATAAACATTTAAGTCATATCTTGAAATAAACAGATCTTATTAACATCAAGAAATCTTGGATTTGAAGTTGTGTCTTAATGTGAAATTAAATGCATTTCAGTCATATCTTGAAATAAACAGATCGTATTAATATCAAGAAATCTTGGATTTGAAGTTGTGTCTTAATTAATGTGAAATTAAATACTTTTCCGTCATATCTTGAAATAAACCGATCTTATTAATATAAAAAAATCTTTGATTTGAAGTTGTATCTTAATGTGAAATTAAATATATTTTAGTCTTATCATAAAGTAAACAGATCTTATTAATATCAAGAAATCTTGTATTTGAGGCCGTGTCTTATTGTGAAATTAAATACTTTTCCGTCATATCGTGAAATAAACAGATCTTATTAATTTCAAGAAATCTTTGATTTGAAGTTGTATCTTAATGTGAAACTAAATACATTTCAGTCATATCATAAAGTAAACAGATCTTATTGATATCAAGAAACAATTTATTTGAAGTTGTGTCTTAATGTGAAATTAAATATATTTCAGTCATATATCTTGAAATAAACAAATCTTATTAATATCACGAAATCTCTGATTTGAAGTTGTGTCTTAATGTGAAATTAAATACATTTCTGTCATATCATAAAGTAAACAGATCTTATTGATATCAAGAAAACTTTGATTTGAAGTTGTGTCTTAATGTGAAACTAAATACATTTCAGTCACATAAGGAAACATATCTGTTAATAGTACGAAATCTTTTACAGAAAAGCCATAGTATTAACTATTAAGTGAGTGAGTGAGTTCGGTTTAGCGCCGCGTTAAACATTATTTCAGTTAAACCACAGTGTGTCAGCTTGTGAGGAAAGCCTGGATTGTCGCCGGTCTTACGTTTATCACTTTGGTCACACTGACGAGAAAGGCACGATCTGACAAATCTAGATATATTATGAGTGCGAATAAGGAATCCATCTAGACCGTCATGGTCTTCTGGCATACAATGCATGACGGATAAATTGTTTGATAGGCATTACTTAGAAGTTTACGGATGACAAGGTAGACACAATTTTATGGATAACAACTTCGTTAATACTGTGAAAAGCGACGTTTCGGTATAGATCCTTATACCGTTGTCAAGCAAGACTGAAATGAAAACGTATTTGTGTAATTCCACTGACTCACCTTATGTGGCAGTGATCCCGTCTTGTCAAGAGTTTCTTGGAGTTTATTGTACGTCCTGGCCACAAACCAGTAGAACTCTATGACTGGCGGATAGTACGTAAGCGCAAGGTCAACACGATCAGAGAAATTAGTCTGGATTTGGAAAGCGAGCATTCGTGTAGTGTCGTTATAGATTTTCTGCAATTTAAAAACATAAGCGCAAATTATACCAGAAATGTATCACTAATATACACAAATGCAGGATTATATAGTCAACATCAGGATGTTTCATCCCAAACTAGCTTCGTTATAATGTTGTTGGATCACAATGCGTTGCAGATATTTGCATCGGTTGCCATGAAACATTTGAAAGAATGATAAAGAACAACTTTAGATGATATATATAATCTAACCCCCGTGTACGACTCGTGTTGACATATTTAATTTTATCAAAAGAAACGAGGGTGAGATTATCTATATCGACCCCAAAAACTATATAATAACTATCGGTATATCTGCCCTGCAGGTTGAATTATACAGTAATTATCGAGATATCTGCCTTGCGGGTTGGACTAGTCAGTAACTATCAGGATATCTGTCCTACAGGTTGGATTATCCAGTAACTGTCGCAATATCTCTCCTGCATGTTGGTTTGAACAGTAGCTGTCGAGATATTTGCCCTGCAGGTTGGATTATACAGAAACTATCGATATATCTGCCTTGCGGGTTGGATTAGTCAGTAACTATCAGGAAACTGTCCTGCGGGTTGGATTATTCAGCTACTATCGGGATATATGTCCTGCAGGTTGGATCATTCAGCTACTATCGGGATACCTACCCTGCAGGTTTGATGATTCAGCTACTATCGGGATGTCTACAATGCCAATTGGATTATTCACTTACCCTTGTGATATCTACCCTGCAGGTTGGATTATGCTGTTATTATCAGGATATCTACCCTGCAGGTTTGATTATTCAGTTACTATCGGGATATCTGCCCTGCAGGTTAAACATTTGATTATTCAGTTACAATCAGGATATCTGTCCTGCAGGTTGGATTATTCAATTACTATCAGGATAACTACCCTGCAGGTTGGATTATTCAGTTGCTATCAGGATATCTACCCTGCAGGTTTGATTATTCAATTACTATCAGGATATCTACCCTACAGCTTTGATTATTCAGTTACTATCAGGATATCTACCCTGCAGATTGGATTATTCGGTTACTAACAGGATATCTACCCTGCATGTTTGATTATTCAATTACTATCAGGATATCTACCCTGCAGGTTGGATTATATAGTTACTATCGAGATATCTGCATGCTCGGAATATTGGATTATACAGTAACTCTCGGGATATCTGCCACGCAGATTGGATTATTTAGTTACTATCACGATATCTACCCTGCAGGCTGGATTATACAGTAACCATGGGGATATCGACCATGCATGTTTTATTTAACAGTAACTATCGGGATATCGTCCTGTAGGTTGGATTATCCAGTAACTATGGCCATATCTCTCCTGCATGTTGAATTGAACAGTAGTTGTCGGGATACCTGCCCTGCAGGTTTGATTATACAGTAACTATCGGGATATCTACAACAGCATGTTGGTTAACATAATAACTAGCAGGGTATCTCCTATGCAGGTTCGATTAAACAGTTATTTTGGCGATATCTGCCATAAGATTATACAGTAACTATTGGGATATCTACTATGGAGAATAGACAAAAGTTGGTCCGTCGGATTTGGTACCATAGAAGGGTTGACTACACAGTAACTGTTGTTATATCTACCAGAGGAGGTTGGACTATCCTGTTAAGGTTGGCGTGAATGAGTGAGTTAGGCTTTACGCTGCTTTTAAAAGTATTCCAGTTATATCACGGCGTGTCAGCTTAATGTGGGGGAAAAGCCCGAAGTGATGCAGGTCTCAGACGTTTACCACTTCGGTAAAACCCACGAGCACATGTATGGTGCTGACAAATCCTAGAAACATCATCGGGGCGAACCGGGATTCGAACCCACAATCATAGGTTTCTGGCGTGCCCAAGGGACGCAACTCTGCACAGCGAATGGCGGCACCTTAGACGACTGGGCCATCCGTGACCCCAAAGGAGAATAGACTGTAGCCGTACCGTCGGATTTCGTACCATAGAAGGTTTGACTACGCAGTTACTATCGTTATATCCACCAGAGAAGGTTGGACTATACTGTTAATATCGGAGAAACAGATGAGCTGATTATACAGTTATATCTACCAGAATGTCTGTGTCATCCAACAAAGAAGGTTCAAGTACACCATTGATGATGCCGGCTGTTACAGCATACATGAAGTTAGCGGATACAGTGACGTCGACGTTGTTAATGTTGAATGGCATCATCACCCCCTTTTGTAACCAGGTCCGAACTTCATCAGTGTCCTGGATCTAGTACAGGAGTCATATATTTTTGTATCCTAGTGTTCATGAATTACGAAACTTCATTATTATTGATTAACCAATACAAACCTAGAACAAGTTTGGGACAAGCAGAAATACACTTTTCAGAGGGGTACACAAAGTACGCGATCTACAAGTTGTCGGACTGCCTCACTCTGGCAGTGTGCGTTCGAATCCCGGATGGGACTCAACCCTCAAAAGTACTAGATCTGTACTTTACTAAGAAAGTGTTATCCCAATATAGCAGAAATACAATATTTGTCTCGTGAGCATTACATTTTCACATGCTATACTGATATTATGTTTACGTTGGCAAAGATTCGCTGTCTATGAACAATTTATTGCGTAAAAATTGACGTCATAAATTGAAACGGACATACAGTTGCAATCTACTGACCCACGTTGGCACAAGGACCACGTCGTTTCCAGCTTTCTGTTCCTGCTCTAGCCACTTCCGCAGGTAGACATAAGACCGGGAATCGATCGTGTTGACTCGCTGGTCTCCGGAAAATGGTCTTTGCAAAAAAAACAAAAACATAATCATTTATAAGATACTTCAGTGTGAACGATTGAGTTTTCTGAAGTTGAGAAAAGTGATATTTTCCTTGCAGTGAACATAACACGTTGTTATTTTACTGCAGTGACGGAACTATTGTCATACAAGAGTTAACTCCCCTTAAATTGTCTCCCTTTATCGTAAGTGTCTCGCCCGCACACAAAAATTGACGTCTTTTCCACGTTAGTTCCACATTGCCAAGGCAAAATATTGACAGATGGTCAATTATGGAGTTAATATCACTTCTTGCCGCTTGTTATTCTCTCGAAAATGTTTCGTTATAAATCTTAATTTCTCTTTGAACTCGTCAATCGACAGCGGGCTCCTAGTTTTCAAGAATATTTTTTGTTAAAATGATATTTCACTCGAAACATGAAATATCCTCTTTATATACACTGTTCGTTCTTTGCTACTGAAACGCACGGTCACATCAACTACGACTGGTAACTGCCACGAAGGGGCTAACGTTACAAAAGCGGTTTCAACAAAAGTTGAGGCATTTTTGCTTTTGACATTTTTCAAATCATCTTTTGTCCATATGCATCTGATTGTATTAACATTTTTTGCTCATATTATAGTGTTCGCTTAAAATAAACGCAATATTACTAATATAGGGATACAGTGCAATCAATAATTCCAAGTACCATACATTGTCTCAACACTGTCTTTCCCTAGCTGCTTAATGTCTATATGGGATTCAATATACACAAAGACAGGTTGAATAAATTAGTGGCTTTCAGATTCGTTTTGTGCTGCGTTGCAAGATGGATCGTCACTCATCAAATGTACGTGGTAAGTATAGTGATTAGTACATTACATTTCATGTCATCTTATTGTGGGAAGACCACGTGAGTGATTTCGGGGGAAATCTAGGATTCATGTTGACCATGAACGGCGGATCATGGATTATCTAATGATCCGCATTGTCGTAACAAAACGGGATGTAGTGTACAGACTGATTCACGCATGTTGCGAGAAGGTAAACTGATACATCCGTCTTACCTGTAGACAAACTGATACATCCGTCTTACCTGTAGACAAACTGATACATCAGTCTTACCTGTAGGCAAACTGATACATCTGTTTTACCTCTGTAGGCAAACTGATTCCTATGTCGTACCTGTAGTCAAACTGATACATCCGTCTTACCTGTAGACAAACTGATACATCCGTCTTACCTGTAGACAAACTGATACATCCGTCTTACCTGTAGACAAACTGATACATCCGTCTTACCTGTAGACAAACTGATACATCCGTCTTATCTGGAGGCATACTGATTCATAGGTCTTTCCTGTAGACAAACTGATACATCCGTCTTACCTGTAGACAAACTGATACATCAGTCTTACCTGTAGGCAAACTGACACATCCTTCATACCTGGAAGCATACTGATCCACACGTCTTACCTGTAGGCAAACTGACACATCCGTCTTACCTGGAGGCATACTGATCCATACCTGTAGGCATAACGCTTCAGGGCATCAAATACAGATGTCAGGTTAGAGTTTTGGGACATCCACAAATCAGAGGCCTCTCGGAAGGTATGAGACGTTTCCTTTAGCATTGAACCTAGACCGATGTTGAGAAAAGTGTCATCAAAATCTGGCGGAACATGAAACACCGACATGTACCCATCTCTGAAAGGAAAACAAAACACGTCCCGAAATAGAATCATTGACAAGGACATATTTCAGTGTTTTGGGACACTTGAACTATCAGCCTGAGATAAAAGTAAACAACAAAGAAACAAGGTAATCTATAACTATGGAATGTGTTTCGTTACTTTTATAAATCAAACTTTAGTATGCTATTAACATTTAGTGGTAGTGTAATACAAACATAAAAGGTAATGATAACAGCAACAGGACAAGGTTTGTTTGTTTGTTGGTTAACGCCGCACTCAGCAATATTCCAGCTATATGACGGCGGTCTGTAAATAATCGAGTCTGGACCACACAATCCAGTGATTAGTATCATGAGCATCGATCCACGCAATTGGGATTGATGACATGCATCAACCAAGTCAGCGAGCCTGACCACCCGATCCCGTTAGTCGCCTTTTACGACAAGCATAGTCGCCTTTTATGGCAAGCATGGGTTTCTGAAGACCTATTCTACCCCGGTTCTTCACGTGGCAACAGGAGAATGACATTACCTAGATCTCATAAGCCGCGTCATGATGTACTCGATGTCCTTTAGACCAAGTTTCTCAAGCTCAGCATAGGTCCAGTTTAAGGGTAGATATTTGATCCCCTCTATAAGATCCACCAAGTTTCGAGGACTGCTGTCCCACGCCTTCACGGATTCATTATACACTTGTGGCCAGAACGTCATTAAAGAATTGTTGAAGGCAACATTCTTGTCCCGGTGATCCTTGATGGCGTCTAGACCAGCGTTGATACCCCTCAGATTAAAACCCGTCATATCTCCATATCTACTGAACTCTGCCAGAATCTCCATCACATACGCTGTGGCAAACATGTTGTTGTCAAACACACCAAATAGTTGCCTGAACAAAGCCAAGTCAGGGTCACCATGAAAGTACTGCTTGACATAACTCGGCCAGACCCCCTTGTGTTCTGCCCATTCCAATAAAGGCACGTATTTCTTCTCCTTCTTTATCTGGGCATTTTCTACAATATCTCTCATAAACCGTATAGCTCCCTCTATGTCTTGCTTGGTCGGGGACGACGAGACACACGTTAGCAGTAACACAAAGCACCATGCAACTATGACAGTCATGTTCAATGTGTAAAAAACCAACAATATCGTCAGTATGTATGGAACGTGAAAACTAATGTGAAATCAGGGCCGATACACATATGTTTATCTTAAATGGCACGCGTCAGGTCATGGGTCTAGACGTGAAGGTCTGCTATTGTGTTACCAGTGGCATGTTCGAACAAATGATGAACGTCTGATGTCTATGCAGCTTTGAAATATAAGACAAACCTTTAAAGTTTCGGTAATTTATATTTTCACAGGGTCTTGATCCATAACAGACATTGACCTTGGAGTATCTCGAGTGTAAAGAGTAAATATGTATATTTGTCATCACTAAACATATTTGTTCGTGATCATTAAACATATGTGTTCGTGATCATTAACTAATTTGTTCATAAACATATGTGTTCGTGATCATTAAACATGTGTTCGTGATCATTAAACATATGTGTTCGTGATCATTAAACATATGTGTTCGTGAACATATGTGTTCTTGATCATTAAACATATGTGTTCGTGATCATTTAACATATGTGTTCGTAAACATATGTGTTCTTGATCATTAAACATATGTGTTCGTAAACATATGTGTTCGTGATCATTAAACATATGTGTTCGTGATGATTAAACATATGTGTTCGTGATCATTAAACATATGTGTTCGTGATCATTAAACATATGTGTTCGTGATCATTAAACATATTTGTTTGTGATCATTAAACATATTTGTTCGTGATCATTAAACATATGTGTTCGTGATCATTAAACATATGTGTTCGTAAATATATGTGTTCTTGATCATTAAACATATGTGTTCGTAAACATATGTGTTCGTGATCATTAAACATATGTGTTCGTAAACATATGTGTTTGTGATCATTAAACCTATGTGTTTGTGATCATTAAACATATGTGTTCGTGATCATTAAACATATGTGTTCGTGATCATTAAACATATTTGTTCGTGATCATTAAACATATGTGTTCGTGATCATTAAACATATGTGTTCGTAAACATATGTGTTCGTGATCATTAAACATATGTGTTCGTGATCATTAAACATATTTGTTCGTGATCATTAAACATATGTGTTCGTGATCATTAAACATATGTGTTCGTAAATATATGTGTTCTTGATCATTAAACATATGTGTTCGTAAACATATGTGTTCGTGATCATTAAACATATGTGTTCGTAAACATATGTGTTCGTGATCATTAAACATATGTGGACGTGATCATTAAACATATGTGTTCGTGATCATTAAACATATGTGTTCGTGTCCATTAAACACATGTGTTCGTGATCAGGCATGCATTACTTCCGACTTTCATCCTGGATCAAACACACGCTTCGTGCTATGACTGCAATACTGTTCAAATCCTCATTAAACCAAACTCATTCCCTCAATGGTACACATCCACGACGTGTGTCAGTATTGGCGTATTTAAACTTACGCTGGACTATTCTGATATAACTAAACCACTGTTCAAGGCGGAATTAAACCAAACCATTTCATTCTTCACTTTTGAACATTTTGATGTCTATGTCTTTACAATTTTTTAACGGTGAAAGCACTGGAATGGCATACGTGTAATGTATGTATATTGGGATACATAGGTGGTTCACAATGGCGTTTCACATCCCCCTGACTTCACCTTCTTCAACATTGATCTCGGTTCCATCCTGTCTGAGATGTCCGACCTGTGCCCGACGTACGACAAGATGTGGCGATCCCACAACACCAATCTCTCATCTGTGTTCGACGCCCTCAAGTATTACGCCTACAGGTCAGTATGGTAGAGGGCAGGCTTGTCTTCATCTTAATACGGGAATGAGTCACTGGTACAGTGGTATAAATTGGTCCTTGCCCAACCTCCCAATAGTTTAGGTATCATAAGGACGACTTGTAATTTGCCATTTTTATGGGTTTTGCTATATTTTAGGACTAGTGGACTAAAACTGTCAGTTACTATCACTGGTATATATAGTGGATAGAATGTCTGCCCTGGCCGCGTCATACTGAAAGACGTTAAAAGATGGTACTTATTGTTATCCTGTCTGGCGCTGTGCATTAAGGGGCTAAAACAAGGACACGTTGGCCCAGAGTATGTGTCTCAGTAGGCTATCCATGTTAGACTGCGGTAGGGTATCTCAGTGGGCTAACCTTATAGAACCAGCATAGTATTTATTACGTCCGTACAAGCGCGCGCGCGCACACACACACGCACGCGCACACACACACACACACACACACACACACACACACACACACACACGCACGCGCACACACACACACACACGACCCCAATGAGTAACAGGGGAGAGTTAGCTGCCTGGTGTTTGGATGCCTAAAGTAAACTCGTTCGCGGACGATTCATGTCACCAAAGGCCAAATGTTACGAACATTCCAAATTCTTCTTGGAACCGAAAGGGCCTACCACTGCCGCTGGAACCTCCTGTTCCTTATAATTAGGCGACATTTAAAAAAAAAATCTTTTAAAAGTGAGGTAGGCCAGTTAAAAAAACAACAAAATAACCTCTCAGATTTGTTTACTTTTCTTTTGTCCTAAACAGGTATACCAAAAAAACTATTCTGTAGAAACAAAAGTAAAACAACTCATTTTTTCAAGAAAATTGTATTACATCCCTGGCACACAGCTGGTGCACAAATGGGAATACGGCTTTTTGGCAAAATTGTGCTCAAACAATTTCTATGTCATGCATTCGTAGCTGCGCAAAGAATTGAAAATGTTCATGAAGTATCCTTTGGCCTCACAGTATACAGGGATTAAACAGCTGTGAATTCCTGTGAGACCCACATATGACCCATTTGATAAATAGAGATTACTATACGAGTGTCTGTCAGATACGAATGATCTTACAACGAGTTGTTTCAAAAGGTATCTAACGGTGCAGTAATCTGTTTCTTAAACACTCTAAAATCGCACCTTTTTAGCATCGAAGCGATGCATTTTGTCTATTCTCATGATTGCAGTAGCGCATTAATACATACCACAACTGTTATGTGACGTCATCCTATATTCTGCTTTCTACTCATAAATAATGTGACCCTACACAAAAAGGTTTCCGTCATATCTGAGGATTATCAAGGCGATGATAATAATGCAACCTAGACAAAAACAAAGAACACGCTGGGTGCGTGTGTTTACACCTCAAAGAAATTACCAAATATGTACAACAATGTTTTCTCCGTTGGACATCACTGCCGGCGACCGACTTTTACAAAATGGCTTGTTTCACTGACAACAGTACGCGGGATTTCCAGAGGAGGATTTTCGTTGATCGTATATACATAAATGTGTCACGTAGGTAATCCGAAACATTCTGACAATCTGCTACTGTTATTTGTTTTTTCCAATAAACCCATGCTTGCCGTAAAAGGCGACTATAAACCCGCGACTATAAACCCATGCTTGCCGTAAAAGGCGACTATGCTTGTCGTAAAAGGCGACTAACGGGATCGGGTGGTCAGGCTCGTTGACTTGGTTGATGCACGTCATCGATCCTAATTGCGTGGATCGATGCTCATGATATCAATCACTGGATCCTCTGGTCCGGACTCGATTATTTACAGACCGCCGTCATATAGCTGGGATATTGATGAGTGCGGCGTTAAACAACAAACCAACCAACCAATGTAACAAAGAGAATAAGTCAGAAATGCAGATTACCACCGTCGTCGTTGTGCGTGATTTAGCGTCAGTCATGGCGGACACTTTTACGGCTTCTGTTGAATTTCCCACATTATTGTAATGTATATATGTGTATTTCCATAATTAGTGCAACGATACTCTTCCTATTTATATTCTCAAACGCGTGATCGAGCCAATGTATGTGACAATTAGACGAAAGTACCTTTAGTAAAAATGCTACACAGTGCAAAATCTTAATTTTTATTCGTTTACATTTAATTAAGTACAGTTTTCGTTTTCATACCTTATTTATTTCGCATGATTTCATCTAGATAATTTGCAATGGTGACAAAGACCATTTGTCATTTGTTTCTAAAATGTATGAGGAATTCAGGGATGCATGTATAGCAGCTGAGTTTGAAATATACCTGATCGAATAGGCGTCTCATAACCGGCTTTTTGTGAACACAATCCAATATGGCGGAACGTACACTTCGGCGTTCGTTTATGCGTTTTCCAAAACATTCTGAACGATTCTAGGCTTATCAGCGACGTTTCAGAATTATCATTAGTGATTTGATACCCGTGATCACAAATATGCTATTTTTCTACTTTAACCCTTGTCCGATGGAAGCCTAAATGTTACACAGAGTCGGTTTGGGGTCCATCTGGACCCCACCAGCAAAGGGTCCACAAATTGTAGCTCAGGGGTTCTTGGCGCCAAATTAGAGATCGACAGAAGCATGGAAGAGGAACTAAGGATGACATTCAGTGCTTAGGGGTAAATATATTGATTTCAGTTTGCAACATAATGATAAACATTCATTTAAGCAAATGCCAAAAGGAATAGTCTGCGTTTTGTTTTCTGTTTGTCCTGCCACAGTGGATTCTTCCACAGCCAAGTGATATAGGCAGCAATAGCACCTATGTCGACTATATTCATGAAATACACGACAGGCCATCTGTTGGTTCGCCTCTTGACAGTATATTTGTGTGCTAGCTGGTCGAGGGAATCCACACCTCCTTTGGTTTCATTGTAGAAGAGTATCATTTCAGGCTTGTGATTCCTCTCAGTAATGACATCAGGAGAGCTGTGCATGGTTGAGAGCAAAATGACGGCCATGGACTCCTTTGGCACATACGACACCATAGTTGTCGTTTCCCGAAAGCCAAACACAGATGATTCCACTTCTCTTGCACGTTTTGGCAAAAAATCAGCTGGCACAAATGTTCTGTTTGAACGCACGGTTCCAACAACAGTAAGTTGCTCCTTCTGAAGATTCATGGTCAGATTCAGAGTAGTGAAATAGTTGTCCATGGTGATAATTCTTCCGGAACGAGCATAAGGTCGTGCCAGATCCATGACAACCTTTTCTCCAAGACCAACTTGTATGTACTCTGCCAGCCTCCTTTCCAATGTAGGGGTACGCCTTAAGAGGGTAGAACGTTTTGGCATCAACAATCCAAAATAATTTTAGACCATTTTTGTCTGGCTTTGAGGGAATGTATTGCTTAAAGCTGCATCTCCCCCTAAAGGGCACCAACTGTTCATCTAGTCAGATACGCGCCACGAGAATAAAAGCGCTGAAGTCGGGCATTGGAGGTCTCAAACACGTTGCGAATTGGAGCCAGTTTATCGCGTTCTTGTCTCTGGGATCTTTCGGCCTTATCATCTAATCTGAGAAACGTCATTAGGTGCTGAAACCTCTCTCTGGACATGGTTGAACATACCTGTGCCAATCCGTATTTCGTACTCAACAGTACTTTCTGTGCTCTGATTGTTGTTATTGGTAACGCCAGCGATAATCCATATTCCAATCAGTGCCGTGACTTCAATACTATCTGTTGGCTTCCACTGTGTGCCAAGTTCAGACTCAGGAAACCGATTTGTCCATTGACAATATCGGCTAGGGATTGTTTCTGTGTTATGGTGGGGTTGTTGTTGCATCTGGGTAGGGACCTTTGTAAATATGCTGAGGGATTGTGCAGAATGGCGTGATATCGCTTTGTTATGGTGAGGAATTTTACTATGGCAAGTGGTCCATTAGCAAGTGGTCCATTAGCAAGATCTTCGATGTCGCCCCAATAGAAGCAGATAAAGGGGAATCTTGCACAATACACCTGTCATAACACAGGATGTTTTTATATGAACCTAAAAATAGATCATGCATTAATGTATAAAGATCTATCTTTTTTTCAAAATTTAGCTTGTTTTCGCCGTGTTGTTTTATATCAAACATTCCTCCTTCAATGACCACTGTATTTGGAAAAGCTATTAATAAAACGAATTAAAGACGCATCTGAAAGCTTCAAAATGGCTCACTAGAATAATAAGCAGTGTCTATGGGCGAGGAGCAGATGATCCCCTTTCTGACCACAGCACAATTTGTGAGACTGGAAATGCTGTCACATGTGAAAACCAATTCATCGTCCAAACGTCGGACTTGCGCCAGATCCCTGCTTGTTGTCATCTGCTGAGAAAATATACCAGGGTTTAATCACTAGGTCTTCAGCAACCCATGCTTGCCGTAAAAGGTGACTATGCTTGTCGTAAGAAGCAACTTACAGGATCGGGTGGTCAGGCTCGCTGACTTGGTTGATGCTTGTCATCGATCCCTATTGCGTGGATCGATGGTATGCTATTAATCACTGGATTGTCTGGTCCAGACTCGATTATTTACAGACCGCCGTCATATAACTGGAATATTGCTGAGTGCGACGTAAAGCAACAAACCAACCAACCTAAACTATCTTCAGAGCAGTGGATGTTCAGATAAAGCTTTGATAATCTAATATTCTCGACCAAATTAATTGGTTGGTTTGTTGTTTACCGCCGCACTCAGCAATATTCCAGTTATATGACGGCGGTCTGTAAATAATAGAGTCTGGACAAGTCAATCCAGTGATTCATGTCATGAGCATCGATCCACGCAATTGGGATCGATGGCATGCATCAGATAAGTCAGCGAGCCTGACCACCCGATCCCGTTAGTCGCCTTTAACGACAAGCATAGTCGCCTTTTATGGCAAGCATGGGTTGCTGAAGACCTATTCTACCCCGGAACCTTCACGGGTCTACCAAAAGGTTAACAGAAATACTTAATATATGCAAAAACTTTGCCTGCTGTAGAAAGTTTAAAGTGAGAGAGTGAGTGAGTATAATTTCATACTGCTTTTAGCAATATTCCAGCAAAACCATGGCGGTGGACACTAGATATGGGCTTCCCAAATTGTACCCATGTGCTGAATCAAACCCGGGTCTTCGGAGGTGACTACCCCATTGCCCCAGAAGATTTAGTAGTCTGTACAACCAATACATTTTAACTGTGGTATGTTTGCCACTCAAGTTCCCTTGAGCTACTTATCATTCTCAGTCGCAGTGTCCTTAAATTTGAAGGATGGCCTAGCAGCAGCATTGGTCTCAGACCCACATACTTCTGAGAAGTTTTTGTACCCATCACTGTCGGGGACACAGTCAGGAAGCAAGTCGACCACAACATCATCTGGAATTCTTCTTGGATGCATATAAATGCAATAGAAACATATGTTTCTATTGCACTCTTTCGCCTACATGAAAAACAATATGAAATGATTATGTATAATATGATAAATACATGGGGTCATTTTCAAAACTTATGGGTGACACACTCTGAGAGATCATATAAACACTGAAAAAAACCATGATATGCATGTCGATGATACAGAATCGCCACAAGTAAACGTTAATTTATACGTTCTTTGTTTTTCTACCTTTCCTCAGTCTGTCACCATTGTCACTCTCACGTTAGCCATGAGACACACACTGTGATTCGCTTATATAAACTTGTGGTCGTCGATTCTGTGATACCGAGGTCATTTGAAGCAGAAACGTCTTTAGGATTATAAGAACTATGACTACTCTACACTAAAATTGCAAAATAATAATTGCACTATAATTGCAGTTGTCCTGTGATGTAAACTGTTTAGGAGAAATTAATATTGCAAGGATAAAGGAAGGCCAGCTGTCTCGGCAGAACACTGATCACACAAAAAAACCTTCAGCATTTTCATACCCTATAAACTCAACTGCATACCTGAAATGAATATTGTCTAAAACGACCAATGCTGTTAGGCGAAATCATCAAGAAGTGGAAGGCTTTTCAGCCCAGACTTCTTTTGAGAATTCTCAATGGTACATGGGTTGTCTTCATTGCCAAACATGGCCGGCCGAGAAGTTCTCTCCTTTATCATGTACCACCACCACCTCTTCCTCGTGGAATCTGAGGTGCGAACATCTCTGTTTAAGTGGAGCAATTACAGGCTCAAGAAAGGCCTTCAGCACCTCTTTCAAGGCAGGCTTTCTTGTGGCACAGTCACGGAGTGATTTCATACTTGAAACTCCCATGCTTCCCCCATCTCTCGTCTAGCGAGGGCCACATTCTAAACATGGAACAGTAGCCCATTTTAATAATATGTATCACAAGCACTAAAACAGGTCATGATACTAATTCTGTAGACACTAATTGCCTAAAATTGCTTAACAGTTTCATATTTCATTTTGTTTCCAAGTCCGATTTCAGTACTAGTATTCGAATCTAGAAAGTAGACTTTTGAAATAATCATCTATACATACCTGCAAAGCCATGTTTTGAAGACTCATACACCTTTCTGCAGGGTTCGCAGAACTATTGTATGGAGCTGTCCTGGCTGACACCAAAAGATCAATGTCCAAAGCAATGAAGAGGAGTATGTACAAAAGTTGTACTGACCAGTAGGTTGAACGATGGTCAGGTCCACCATCTTTGATGACAAATAACACCGGTGCATCAAGAGTGGACCAATCAGAACATGTATCTTTGTTTCCTCTGAAGATAGACAGTGTGGCGTGCCTTACAACTGTCGATGGTGAGAAGATTTTGTCCTTCGCAGTTACGTGAATAGTTCCGTCGTAAAAAGGATCGGACGAGTCTTCGGGTATGTTGACATCAAACAGAACCGAAGGGATGGGACCGTGGACATGGAAGTCATGGTCAAGCGCAAACTATCTGCGCCCCAACAGGGACCAGGGACTTGTTACGAGGACGGACTCCTATTGAAACATACTGTTCTGGTTCACCAATAGGTACAAGTGACTTATCATCAAGGCACACCATTGTGGAATGCTTCACTGCCCTTTCCTTCGTCTTCATGAATTGATGGTATGCATATCCTTGTCATGATGCTTTTAGTGCAACAATCTCTGTTGTATTGCATTCTTGACTTTAAAGCGACACCTGTAATGTGGAGCTGTTCTGGCATATGGATTCATCTGCAAATGTTCATACGTGTCCATGTTACTGATGGAGTTGGACTTTGAGGCAGCATACCGTGCACAATCTGCTGTCTAAAATCATCAAGTGAAATAGCAAGGGGTATGTATATATGGGGTCTACGTTCATGCACCCCACCGACCCATGAAGATTCGGCCCGTGAAGACGCCGGGATAGAATAGGTCTTCAGCAACCCATACTTGCCGTAAAAGGTGACTATGCTTGTCGTAAAAGGCGACTAACGGGATCGGGTGGTCAGGCTCGCTGTCTTGGTTGATGCATGTCATCGATCCCAATTACGTGGATCGATCTCATGATGTCATTCACTGGATTGTCTTGTCCAGACTCGATTTATTTTACAGACCGCCGTCATATAGCAGGAATATTGCTGAGTGCGGCGTTAAACAACAAACAAACTAACATCAGATACATTAAGCAACAAATTGACAGACAGTGGAAAATGAAAATGCAGAAGTTAATATATCTCTTTCTTATCAGGTTCATATAAACAATCACTTAATAACTTATAATATATTTCTCAATATAAATAGGTCACACAATTCACATGATCAAAGATACATAAAATGTAAATTTGTTGCGAGTGTGAGATCTTATCATAAATATTGTTTATCATGTTATAAATACACATCTTTAATATGCATTTTATAAACTACCCCATATATTTCCATATATTGAACTTACCCACTTCTATTAACATAAACGTTCTAGCATGTTAATATACTGTGCATTATAAATAAATATTTTTAAGTCGTGAGGAGAATATCTAAACATGCTACTATAAGAGAAGGTATAAAAATTAGGAATAAAGTACCATCACCATATACGATCAGACAATTTAACATAGAGCTACAGCACATGAAGCATTTGGGAAACAAAGTAAAGATTCTTACCCATAAAATCATCTGAAAGTTCAAAATCATAAATATGAAAGGAATATTTAAAACAAATCTGCACCAAAATTGCTACTCATTGGCTTATGTTTATTATCAATACACCAGTATTAAAAAAAATGTTTTACATTACTTCCTTTCAATTAAAATGATAAATATGGAACTATTTCCTCTGAGAAGAATGTTGATACGAGTGTCATAACCACAAGTTGCCATAATCATTATCATAGGTTTTTAGAAACGTACATGACAGTTAAATTGACCGGAACGAGGTTTGTTTTTTCTTACTTCTTATGTGGCAGCGATGTATATCGTTTTTGAGTATTCATGAGATTATCAGAGACTGACGTGGTGTCTGCAGTATCAATTTTCTTTGTAGAGGTCTGGTGAACAACTTTCATCAAGATATGGCGAAATCCGAAGTTTTCACTTGTTCCACCCTTGCTCGCCCTAACACTTTCGACTGTATTGTCGTTGTCAGTTAAATCAAGTATGACATCTCCGACAGTCCTGTCAAGCTCCACATTCAAAAATGAAGATATTGACTTGCTTCCATGTGAAATGCATGAACGACGAATAAACTGGTCGCCACTGCGGTTTGCGTTGACACGCTTTGATCGTATCAGAGAAAGATCCCAGCGAGAAATATCAGAGTGACCTCCCTTTGCTTTACACTCGACGAGCGTAAAGCTAACGCTTTAACCACTAGGCTACCCGACCGCCCCTGTTGACGAAGGAGAAACAAGCCGGAGACAATGTTGCCTTACTGCCAACATTTGTATGTATACTTGGATACAGCCGTATCGTTTAACCTATCATTTATATATAGAATACTAAACGAGCTCCCGTGTAATACTAATTTTATGAAAATCTGACGAGCGATACCACAACTAATCACTAGTTTCATAAAATTGGTTTTACACGGGAGCGAGCATGTGTAATACAGCTGTATGTTTATTAAACGGGTGATCTTTTCACGGGCAAGTAATAAATGTATATATCTACAGACACAGATAACAAGGCGGGTCTATGAATACACTTCATTCCATAACCACGTAAACACCGCAACGCAACGCAACAAACACAACAAAACACAACACAACTTCCGGATTTTGGCAGACATTACCACTGCATGCTTCCAACACTAATTCACACACTTGTTAGATTAGATGGAGTATCATCGACATCTGGTTAACCTCTGGCTCTGGTTAATCACTAATTACAGAACTAAAATCATGCACGTTATTTATTACAGATACAACAATTAACAATGGCTTCAATGTGCCCTTGATAGTAATGTTTTGTAAGTAGTTGATAAATTGACCGTTACGCCCAACTCTTTCCGTGACGAAATTGTCTATAGCATGAAAAGCCGCCATGTGACAGGAGGGACGGCTCAACCCTCCTCCTGGAGACGTCTGATGAGACCCTGGGTAGGTGTTGCCAGTTTCTGTGCAATTCTTGTGACAGTTCATGTATTCCTGTAACCTGGTCACTCGTTGGTCCAGTGTCTGTATCGTGAGCCCCTGGATGTCGCAGATATGTCCGACCCGTGAGGATTCCGGGGTAGAATAGGTCTTCAGCAACCCATGCTTGCTGTAAAAGGTGACTGTGCTTGTCGTAAAAGGCGACTAACGGGATCGGGTGGTCAGGCTCGCTGACTTGGTTGATGCATATCATCGATCCCAATTGCATGGATCGATGCTCATGATATCAATCACTGGATTGTCTGGTCCAGACTCGATTATTTACAGACCGCCGTCATATAGCTGTAATATTGCTGAGTGCGGCGTTAAACAACAAACCAACCAACCAACCAACTTAATTCTTATATGATTCATAGTAGACTCGGGACATTCGTGGCTGTTTCGGAATGTTTTCGAGTTGAGGACAAGAAATTTTGGGGAGCTAGGAACCGCTAAGAATAGCCAAAAATGCAAAAGAATCGATTATGAAGCTGTTACGGAACATGAAAATTAATTACGAATGGATTACGATACAGCCACGAAATTGCAATTTGGGGACCCTTCCACGAACATTTTTGACAAACAAAAAGTTTCCCGCCGATTCGTTGAACTCCCGCGACCTGAACGAAAGTTTGGGAATCAAATAAGATTCATTTAAGAACTTCAAGAAATGTCCGTGAAAATATGAATTGTGCTTTAAAAACGTGATTTATGTCATACAATATGCTGGATGCAAGGCCGAATAAATTGGACAGACAGGGGACACCCTAATAGCGAGAGTGAGGGTCCACCGACAACAAATATAAGGGACCCCTCTTGTCGGTGTATCCCACTCAGTCAACACATTGATCAGTGTGCCGGGAATAAAACACCAAATTCTGTGATATTCCCGTTTTACAAATGTGACAATGATGCACTGAGAAAGATAAAAGAAAGTTATTTTATTAATACTTTCAAACCAAAATTAAATGGCCTGAAATAATTGAATTATTTTATACAATTACATGTATTGTACATTTTACTGCCACTACAATACGTCGTATGTGTCGTACGCCTGCCCTATCGTCTTACGTCTGTCTTATTGTGACGTCACAAAGTTTGATTGCACTATGACGTCATACTATATTAGAGTGCACTGTGACGTCAAAACAGCGTAACGGTATAACTGTACTCTTGAAAATCACATGCGTGAAACCGGTTGAGTAAGCATGTTATTACCCATATCGGCCCGGTTGTTCAGAACCCGGTTAACTCTTAACCAGCCGTTGAGTCAGTGTTAACTCTCCGTTAAATTTAACCAAATGGTTATGTTGTTTCCCAAAGCATGGTTATCTTTAACGACTGGTTAAACCCCCGTTAAAGTTAACACACCTCCCGACCTCCGTTAAATACTTAACACCTTGGTTATCTTTGAAACAAAATGGCGTTCATGGTTAGGCTTAGCGCCGCTTTCATGGTTCCAGAGGTTAAAGGGGAAGTGTACACGCAAAAGTTACTTTCTTTCGTTTTCTAAACAAAACGCAATTTTAGAATTAGTTAGTATCTGTGTTTGAAAATATACACTCATTTTTTCACAGTGAAAGTAGGAAGCTCACAATAGTGTGAAAATGATATGCCGTTATGAGGCCCTCGTTTTTCGAGCTAAACAGGCCTGAGTTATCCCCCTTAGATTATGACGTAATTGGTGCCAATTCAACTGGGTCCCTGTCTATTCTCAACGCAAAAGATATCAAGTACCAGTTTGCGGTAAAACAACATGGCCTACGACACACTCCGGCGCAATGGTGACTCAGCATAACACTATGCTAGCTGGCATCTGAGACGCAAGAATTACACACCTGTACCTACACCACGCGAAGCGGCTCTAACAAAGCATGATGACGTCATAATGTTTATCAATTGGCACCAATGACGTCATATTGCAAGGGGCATAAGCCATGGTGTTTTTGTTATGGAAATAGAACACTTGGTAAATGTGAAAAATATAAATAGCTTTAATGCGAAAATTATGTTGATTAATTGTGATATTTTTATATTTTTGTCTATGACACTTCTAGGTTAACACTTTTAATGTGGAAAAAGTACAAGAAAAATAGGTTCATTTCCGTGTGAACTTGCCCTTAATGCGAGGCAACAGAAGCGATTCCGAGCTGTTAATTTTGCATTAATAAACTACACAGTGATAGGTACAGATTTGGGCGGGAATCTATCAACTACATCGCCAATATACTGAGGGAAGATTTGGAGCGCCCTACACAACGTAGCCATGCTCTAAACGTCGATCAACAACTGATGATAGCTTTCCGTTTTTAAGTGGTAGTTTCCTTCACGTGAATTCATAAAATGGCCAACACAAGAATGCTACATACGTCAGGTTCAAGATGGATTTTTCGTCCTTGGTGGTTTTCCGAGTGTCCTAGGTTGCATAGATGGTACTCACATACGTATTCAGGCACCGACCAGAGATGAACCAGCTTACGTTAATCGGAAAGGATACCACAGTATCAACATACAGGCAGTGTGTGACCACGAAGGTACGTCTTGTGAGATTAGAGTACTGTCCCTTTTTGCAATTAGAGTAGCTTCCCTTCCAAGGTCTATAAAATTCCGCATTAAAAAGATTCGGAATTAGATAAATAATGAAAGGTTTGCGTAAATGCTCTCATTACTCTTAATAAATACAAATGGGATATTCTAGTCAGCTAACAAGGGATGTTTTTAAAGTTCTTTTCAGCTCAAAGCTGTGTCAAGAGACTGTAATTTTAAGGAAATATAGCTGTAAGAAGTTTGTAATATATAATATATATGCCTATAATAGAAAATCCATTAATCCATCACGAACATTGCTTATTGTTTTAATTATTGTCTAATTTGCAGGTAAATTTACGAATGTGTGTGCTAAATGGCCGGGATCAACTCATGATAGCCACATATTTAGAACCTCTACTTTGTGTGAATACTTAGAGAGGTCGCACACTTCAATATCAGATGGCTTTCTATTAGGAGACAGTGGATATCCTTGCAGGCCTTTTCTCCAAACCCCATACATGACTCCACAAGGCAATGCTCAGCAGAGATACAATGACAGCTTGTGTGCTACAAGAGTTACAATAGAAAGAACATTTGGTCGATGGAAAAGACGGTTTCATGTACTTCATTCTGAGGTAAATATGCATAGTATATTTGTGTACTTAATTTGACCAATGTTTTACTTTTCTACATCTAATCTTGATTTTTTTTCATAACTTTAAGGTTTGGAGTCATGGTGTTTGTTGTGTGTTCCAATGGTTCACATTTTACATCGACCACATAGCAGAAACAAATAATTTTCCAAGAATCCTAACTAACGTATCCAATTACTAGTAATTATATTAATAATTCAAAGAAGCAAACAAGTTCCTTCTGAAATGTAGATTTAAATGTGCCATTCTGTATTTATGTATTTGACACAAACGTTTCTTGTTTATTCAACAGATAAGGATGAGTCCACGCCGTGGGTGTCAGATTGTCCTTGCCTGTGTAGTCCTCCACAATATATCCATATTACTGAACGAGCCATTACAAGATGACAACGACAACCCAGATGAACAGCCAACAGTGGACACATGGAGGAAGGCATGATGGACGAGGCATTAGAGATCATATTGCCAATACCTTCTTCTCCAGCTAATAAACTACAAACAGAGGACACAAGAATTAAATATAGTGATAATTAAACTGCAGGTTTATTACATCATAGAAAGTAACAGTTGAGATGGACTGAAATTGTCAATATCATCACGTTGCAGTATTTGCTCAAGGAGTTGAATTTGTAGCTTAAGTTTCTTTTTTTCCATTTCCTGTTTTTCTAGCTCTCCTGTAGCTCTTTCCTGTAATTGATAGACTCTTTCTGAAGAACTGAGTTTTGTAATTTCTTTTCTGAACTTGAGTTGCCTGGCTGGACGTCCGTCATCAAGTCTTGGTGCTGCTTCACTGTGCTCTGTTTCTTGAGATTCTCTGACTTCAGGACTTTGTGATGTTGGGGTTGAGGTAGTAGCTGCCGGAGTAGGATCTGTGGCACCAGTTGGCAACCAAGGATCAGCCACTGATGAACGTTCAGCACAACCAGGAGGAATAAACAATTATCAGTATAAATATTTATGGTTTTGTCTGTGTTTCTATTAGGGATTACGGCTTAAGAAAACTTATATACGGATCTACTCTTGTTTTAATCATTTATGATTCAGAGAAAGACAATATACTTTGAATGTTATTGGGTATTAATGTATTGACTAACATCAACAGAATATTCACTTCATTACAAATTCAGGAGACCGAAATTATGTTGACTGTGTCTTTATGGCTCTGACTATTCGTTTCGTTTTAATGTGTGTAACTGAATTATTCATTTTATTATATTTTCATTAAATTCATTTTACTACCGCTTCACAATAATTTACCTTACTGACCTTGACCTCTACATATGGAGGAGCGGAAGCGTGCTCATAAATAATCTTTGCTCACAGATGAATTTGTGAAATATAAACGTGACCAAGTCAGGTTTGTCATAAGTTTTTGGAATAGCATTACTTTACGTATCCTCTGTTACAGCAGATATCCCGCTCTTGCTAAAACAATAGGCTTTAGACTCGATGTTGACACCACAGAAGAGAAATTGCGTCACATTCCGTCGCCTGATGGAGGCTCACGAAATTGTGTTCAACAATCTTATATTCGTTTCTACGGTTTACAGCATCGTAGACTGGGTTGATATAATAATAATACTCGTGAATCTCACGTGAATAGTAAAAGTTCATACAAAGTTGGCTGCATTGTTCATATATTGTAGAGATGGGAGGCAAACACATTCTTTCGAAAAAGTTCAAGGTCATGTCTAAATATAGAAAAGGGATATTCCGTGTCAACATAAACAGACGACTTTCGAACGTATGAAAATGAGTAGGCGGCTTAGTACAATTCCATAGATATACCCTTATTTCAGCACAGATTGACAGCTTTTATAAAATATGTTACTATGAAAGCACTTACTTGGAAGAATTTCCGATTCTAAGCCCCCTGATATCCCGCTGAAACTTGCTGAATCTTGCATTATCTCAATAATTCGAGAAGTAGCCTGACTCGGTTCGGATGGTGGGGGTCCCCCTCCGGTCTTCCTCTGTTGCAGCCTGTAGTCCGTGAAGGTTTTCTTGGCCTTTCTTGTCATGTTGCTCCATTTCTCCTTCACCTCATCAACAGATCGAAGCGCTACGCCCTTCATGTTGACTGTCTTGGTGATAGCCATCCAAATAGCAGACTTCTTCTTATTGGTAACTTCACTGCTCAGTTTTTCATGAGGTACTTGTGAATTACTCTCCACCATTGACTGGATGATATTTTCTTCATCCACAGTAGAATTCCTGTTTCTTTTCTTTCTTATTTTCCTTGGAGTTTCCTCAGTCATCGACGCTGTTTCGGCCATTATTCGATACGACACAGTGACGGAAGTACTAACGCTTGGAATTCTGGGATAATATTTAACCTAATCGGTGCTTTAACCAAGATGTTAAAATTTAACCGAGTGGTTAGCTAACCTAATTGTTAACTATTGATCCTGCAACAGTATTTTAACGGCTGGTTAACTAACGTGTGGTTAAATATTTAACGGTTTGTTAGGAGTTAACCTGACGTTAATATAACCGGGTTCTGAACAACCGGGCCCTGGACTCAAATGTGCAGTTAATAACTTTTTGATATTTGCACAGTGTGCAATTAGTGATTCTCGAAGTTGATCAATGATCAATTTTCATTGGACAACGGAACTATTTTTTTCTCATCCCATTCATTTATAAATCCACGCCTTTCTTTTCAGATATTTTACGTGCTACAATCTCACTGATTCAAGATTTTAAAGACAAGAAACATAGTTTCATATCAAGAACATGATTCCACATCATTTATTTTTCATTTATTTCACATGATTTTCGTTTTACATTAAAAACCAAAGCTACGTCTGCGTTTGTAAACAAACATTTGACACCTGTCAAAGTAAATGACCTCGTTAAAGCGGACTGAGATCTGACTGACATGAAAAGTTATTCGTATAATTCAACCTCTGAACACATTTAATGTCTTTGTTGTCAAAACTGCATATGGCCAGATTGAAGTTCCAAGATTCAGATTGTGATGTTGCCGGAAACTGTTCCTAGTGCGCCAAGATCAACACCACCAACTCCGGGTTTGCGTTTGTGTTAGAGGACTTGCTATTCCGCGAAACCCAAAACCGGACTTAGTACAGACAGGTTTGCCTTTGTGAACGATGATGACATCGATAACTGCCAATGAAAATGAAAACACAATGAAAAAAGACTAATTTGAAAACACATCATACCAAAAATAATTAAAAATACAAGGAAAAGAAAACTTACCCCAGCGAGCTGATCCTGTGTCCGATATTGAACTAAATGAACTCCGTGAATGCGGACACCTTGTCACCAAGTCTCCAGATACCGTGTTAGTCTATCAACAGGTATTCGACCATTATGAATCACATCAAAATATCAACAAACTCCCGTCATCTGACTGTGTCCAGTCCACAAGCGTGTTTGACAAGTTTTCCTAAAATCCCACATGCACATGTTTCCAATTGCAATCAGTCACACTTGTCTCAAATCACACACGATGTTCATTAAACTTGTTATCCGGATTAAACTGTAACGCCGGTTCTCTTGTCATTCCTGGTTTCGACTGTCTCATATCTGGGTAAAGTCGGGTCATTCATTACGACAAAGCTATAGCTCGGAACTTAAAACATTCATTTCACTCGTGACATATTTTCCGTAATCACTCGTACCTCGTGGGTTATTCTATAATCATTAACATTTGATAATTACAGATTTCACACATACAACTCAAGAAGATAAAGCTTGACATTCAGAAAAACACCTGCTTTCAGACACGATGTTCTCGCTTATCTTATCAATCTTACTGTTTGGAGCACTAGGTATATATTTCCAACCACTGAAATTCGACACATCTAGATTTATTTGACATTTTGAACATGGTACTGCAGAATATCATATCTCTGTTGTTGATATCAATCGTCACACCCGATGAGTTGCCATTTGATCTACCGTCACTGAAGTTGGCGACTGAAACATTGAAGTCGCAAGTTATGGACCTGCAAGTACCTAAAACAAAGCACTTCTTTCCTCCATTCAGATGGGATGAGGAACAAGGAATGTGGCCCAGTGATGTCAAGCTGAACTTCCACGGTTACCCAGATTATGTATTGTTCAGAGAACTATTTGGCATATTCGACAACAATATGTTCACAACCACCTACGTTATGGCTTGCCTGGTCGAAGGAAGGAGGTATATCAATAGCACATCGTATGGACCGACGCACGAAGAAATGACCAATGGTTTGAATGCCATTAAGAGCCACCATGATATGAATGTGAACTATTCTAACTCATTGATGACGTTCTGGCCTCAGAAATACAATGAGACACTCGGAGTCTATAACAGTTACCCCATCAATCTCAATGACCTCATCAAAATGACTGACGTCATGCCACTGAATGCGATGTATGAGTTCCTCGAGAAACTGGGTCTGAAAGATGTTGAGGGGATCGTTAAAGTCTTAATGAGGATCAGGTCTGTATTATTTTGATGCTCGTATTGTTTCCGATTTTCATATGTAAGTACCCTGATAAATTTGACAACCTCTTATGAAAAAGGGGTGGTCGGGTAGCCTAGTGGTTTAAGCGTTCGCTCGTCACGCCGAAGACCTGGGCTCGATTCCCGACATGGGTACAATGTGTGAAGCCCATTTCTGGTGTCACCTGCCGTGATATCTCTGGAATATTGCTAAAAGCAGCGTACAACCATGCTCACTCACTCTTGTACAAATATGATACAGAACATATCTACGTGTCGATTGTATCCAGCTAGTTAGGGTGCTGCAGGATATCAGTATGTGGTCTATTATAATTATATAAATAATATATAAAGTGGACATAAAGAACCGTGTCACTCCACGAATCAATTGACATTGGCTCCAGCATTCAGAGTTCGCGGAGGCACGGAAAGCAAAGTTTTTGTGCAATCGCCGTGAAGAATTGCGTCCTTTAGGCGTGCCACAAAACTGTGATCATGAGTTCGAATCTAAGATTCGCCCTGATACTATTTCTCTGTCGACAAATTACCGGTACTCGTGGGTTTCACCGACGTGGTAAAAGCCTAAGGCGTTACTTCCTGCTTTCATCCTTGATCAAGCACACGCTCTGTGCTGTAATGGCAATACTGTCCAAATCGGCATAAAACCGATATCTTTGGCTACAGAGGTGGTTACACAAAGGCGTTTCACATCCCACCGGACTTCGATGACACCTTCCTTAACATTGGTCTGGGTTCCGTCCTCTCGGAGATGTCCCATCTGTACCCGACCTACGACAAGATGTGGCGATCCCACAACACCAATCTCACATCTGTGTTCGACGCCCTCAAGTATTACGCCTACAGGTCAGTATGGTAGAGGGCATGCTTATCTTCATCTTTATACGGGAATGAGTCCCTGATGAAACAAGAACTATGTCTGAGTAGGTTATCCATGTTAGACCACGGTATGGTGTCTCAGTGGGCTTGCACTTTAAAACCAGCATCGTATTTATTACGTCTGCACAAATGCAAATAGCCACACACACACGTACATGCACACATACACACACATGCATGCACGTCCCCATATGAGTAACATAATCATAAACGCGACGTTAATTCCCACTTCACCTCATTTAACCCAGTGGTGGGCAGCAATTATAATCCTGTTTTGTGGCCCTGAAACGGTATTTGTATTTAAGAAATAAACGACTCGTGGTCGTTGATTATCGTACAATAAAACACTGCAGGAGGATTAAACCATGAGAGGCGCATATGAGACAAGCATATGATTACTGGCAGAAAACCGTTACGACGAAATAACCGTCACCTTCGCTTAGGAAGGGGCGCGGCCGAGGGGGTATTGGACGGGCGGTCGAGCAGCGGCTTCAGAAATCCCTCCTCCGCAAGGATACTTTCCATAAAAAAATGACGTCGTCCAATAAATGACGTCATCCAGTTGGGAGCGCGTATTCGAATCCCCAGAAATGACGTCAAGATAGAACCATGTTGAAATATTAGATAGCCACGCGATAAATCTTGAAGAACAATAAAGAACTACGTGTGGTTTATTTTACGATAAAACATTATTTGCTTCTATTTGATACCGGTACGGTAGTTGTGTTTTAACTCTATTTCTGCAGTGTTTCTCCCACTGTTTCCAGCCAAATGACATTTTCCTGTTTCCAGTCAAATCCAATTTTCAAGTGTATACTTTTTTTTCCGACAGTCAAGTTGTTCAAACTACAATCGAGGAGATTTATTTTGGAATTCATGGTTCTTTAGGTTCTGACAGTGTGTCAGCAAGATGATGCTGGTAGACATGGGAGAATTAGAATGAGAATGACAATGAGCATGAGAATGACGATGATATTTATTTTTAACTAACATAGATTTAAGTACACCATGCATTATGCATATCTGATTGGTCAAAAAAGGCTATCAACATCATTAGCAGAAAGCTTGAAACATGAGTAATTTACACCGACTAAACCATTTCCCTAATCCTATCCGCGGACGGAGTCCGTTGTACGATTTTGACTGCATCGTGGAACATGTGTTTTTTAGCTGTTTCTGACAAAGCGAGCGTATCCTGCACCCCAAGTTGCTAACCAATCCTAACTAATCGCCTACAGGAAATGTGATACATCAAAATTAAAGGTTTTCGACAATGGCTATATCCTTCAATTGTGTTATGTTGACCACAGTAAGACGATAATCATTTGACAACAGTTTGAAAAATACATGGTGGTCAAGGAGACCAAACAATATGAAAACATAATTAGAACCAAAGTGTATCTTGGGGGTCGAGATCTGCTAAAAGTACATGTTTCTTGTTGATGCATGTTGAGTTGCTTCCATGCTATAATTACTACTTACTTTTACATAAAAAAGGTTTTATTCTGATGTTAAAATATCCACATGAAACTAACTAACTAACCCCAATCACCCGCGATTGTAACTGTATGTTGAAAGGAAAAGGGCGTCGTGCCATCTTATTCTCCTTCTATTCTCCAGGTACAGAATACGTACGAAGTGGCCTCTAGGTCCCTTTTCCTCTGACGTACCAACTTCAATGCATAGTTAGTGCAACTTGTAACGCCAATGTGGCCAAGGTAGATGTATTTACATGGAAGGGACCTTCCATATTCATTGAATTCCCAATACATCATTGTTATTGTTTGATCAATATCATCCGAAAGTATTATTTTCAAATATTTCAAGATTATACCGCTAATTCTGTATATCACACAGACCCTTCTCTGGGAACCAAAGGGTAAATACCATCGACTCCAGGACGTACTACTACCTCAGACATTGGTTGGAGCAGGAGAAACAAGCCGGTCACGATGTAGCCTTAGTGCCAACATGGGTTTGTATACATGGGTACATTCGTACCATTTAACTTATCATCATCTATATGTCAGACACAGATAAAAAGGCGGGTTCATAAATATTGTTATTTCTATAACCTTCTGATAACAGTTAGAAGTATGTCGCGTAGTACCCTGTTAACATTCAAAAGTACTGATGATGTCATTGATTAAAGTATCATTAACGTCAGTATAAATACTGATACGTGGATCATATATACCATGAAACATATCAAGGACTAACTGCGGGTCGTTGGACTTGTTTCACGAGTTGTCTTCAGAGAGACATTTACTGCTGCCGTATGACTAGAGACACGAGAGTCGTAGTTTATTCTTTACATGTTCATACACGACTAGCACACGTTCAGCGTGTCGGAGATATGGGTATACAGTACGCTTATGTAACTTAGACCTACAAGTACGAATATATGTCAACAAAGTATGACAGCGATGTGGTTGTTATAGTTTTTGTATACGTTAAAGCTACTTTCATACTTCAAGCACAGTGGACTTTCTATTATCTTAACGCTTAGGTCCAGCATTTAGATCATACTCACCGCGAAAGAAACGTGAACCATAGAAACATATAGTGAGGCTACATTGACGACTCTAGAACGACCAGCTTACAGGAGGCACGGTAGATTTAGCGCTCACACACCTTGGAGATCACACCAATTGTACGTTCTGTATATCTGAGATATCGCCGTCGAAGGACCTATATCTCTCAGTGCAACAAGTAAAACTTTCGCTGAGATCACTTTGTGAAGTAATTCCATGCATTCCTGCCGACTCCAGTCCACCATGGCAATAGGGCGCAGTTGCAACATTCTCATGAATAGCAACATTCATGTAATGTTTAACGCACTGTATTGTATTATGTGACATGATAACTGAGATTATTGAAATATTAAAATTAACATTGATGTGTACAGATCCAGGACACCGACGAGGTACGCACGTGGTTTGACAAGGGAGTCATGATGCCCTTCAACATCAACAACATCGACGTCACTGTGTGTGCTAACTTCATATTTGGCGTCACCAATGGAATCATCAATAGCCTCTTTCAACCATCACTGTTGGATGATCCTGAAATTATGGTCAGTCAAAGCGGTAAACTAATGCGACAAATCCGTTCCATATTTAATAAATCTCTGCTGAAAGCGATTGTATGATTCCGACTGTATCATAAGCATGTGTTTGTGAATCACTATCAAACAGTGATGATACCAGGTGTTCGCGAAAAGGTCAGGATATCCTGGCCCACTGGTGGAACCCATCACAAACACATGCAAAGGGAAGTCAATTGTTCATCTGAGTAAACCCGGAATTATATGGCACACGTAAACATAGGGAATTGCATCGAACAACTTTTTTGATACTGATGCGTCAGATTTGGAAATGTTCTCCACATGTGTCTACCATAAATTTTG